CCACAGCTTACACGGCCAGTAATTAATTACTGCTCTGACGAACGGCACCAGCCACGGATCAGGGCGGGCACTGGGGACTGGCATAACCCACTCCTTATCCTCCAGACCCCAGGCAGGGCTGAGCCCTGAAGGCTGGGATTCAGAGCAGCAGCTGTGGCCAGGAGCTGGTTGCCATATCCCCAGCACATCCCTATGGAGATGAGTTCTCTGGGAACACCTCCATCCCAGAAAAGGGCTCTCAACCCCCCTCCAAACACTGAGAAATCCACACAGGCAACAAAATCCCACCAGAAACATGATACATGTGGCATTTCCTCACTGTTAAGGCAGGGATGCTGCTCAGTGCCCTTGCTGTGCCAAGGAGGTGCTGAGGACAGGCTACACATGGGCCTGCACTGGCTCCTCACATCCCACAACACCAGCAGAGCTCCAGCTCCTGCAGAAATCCCTGGCAAAGCTCTCCCCAGCATCACAGGGATTTCCCGGAGACCTGAGCAGGGAGCCATGCCAGCTGGGAAAAAACCCATCCCTGCAGTTTAGGAGCAGCCTCTGAATTTCCCCGAGAGACATCAGCACAGCAGCAGAAAATGCAAAGCTGTTTGTTACCCGCCCAGCAAATGAAATTCCTAATTATCCATCCATCACCAAGCAGAGGATTTAAAGACTCTGCCCTTTGAATTGAAAATTCACAACACCAGCTCTGCCATGGCCCAGGAGCTGCCGTGGCACCAAGCCATGGGCCGGGAGTATTTGGGCTCAGGGAGAAAAGGGAGATGAAAAGGAATCTCCTGCTGCCAATCCAAGCAGTCAGAGCCAGAGCAAGGGAGAGGGTGCAAAGGGAAAAGAGCAGGAAGGGGCTTGTGGGGGAAAGGGAAAGCCCCTTGGTGATGGGTTTATTTGCATCTGCTGGTTTCCCCCCCATGAATTTGGGTGAAAACACAGTTCCCTATCCCTGTCTCCAGGAGGGACTGGTGCTCAAGGCCTGCCTGTCTGAAACCAAGGGACAGCAAGCTAACAGACTCTGAGGGGTTAAGGGGAAAAAAAAAGAATAAAAAAAAAAAAGGCACTTCAAAAAAGATAAAGCCCCAAACAAAAAGCCTCAAGGAGATCCAGGCATGGCAGCCGGGCTCCGGCTCGGAGACGCGCACGCAGAGGCATCACAGCATCTTCCTTTCATCTGCACGGGGATGACAGACTTTAAAAGGCCAATTTATAAAAATGAAGCCTAGAGGAGAGACATCTGGCAGGTCTGAGGAGGCGGTGACGGGGATTACTAACCCTGTGTCACATATCCAGGATATCCAACCCCCCTGCCCGGAGCACAGCCAGGATCCAACAGTACAGGCTGGGACTCTGTGGGGTGGTTTAAGGGCAGCCCCAGAGCCATCCCTGCCCCTGATTCACCTGATTTCTGCAGGAAGCAGGCTCCCAATTATCTGTGTAGATTTACCTTTAATCTGGATGCCTGCACTCCCCTCCATACCAACAGCTCTGCCCCACTTCTTGAAATAACTTATCATGCCACAGACAGCATCCCCGGGCAGAGCGGTGGAAGCGGAGACCAAAATAAGCTCACGATGAAAATAAGCAGCAAATCTGCAATTGCTTTTTGGAAAGGGCCATCCCCTGCCAGCCCAGCTTCCTGAGGGCTGCAGCACACTCCAGCACCTTTCTAAAGAGCCAGATCCCTCTGGAAGTACCCTCAGCCCACTCCAGAACTGCCTCGGGGGCCACAGCATTAAGTCCCTGAGTCCCTGGCCTGGGTGACACAAGAGGACAGAAAAATAAATATATAAAATGGGGTGGTTTGTTGTCATGAAGAAGCCATGGAGTGGCAACCACAGCATCAGGCTGGTGACAAGCACCTAACCCACCTGCAAACTCCTCCAGGGCAGAGCTGTGCCTGCTGCCCCTGTCATTGGGAAACTGAGTCAAAACTTAAGAAGATAAAAATAAGGAACTTCTGGGGTTTGGCAAGTGGAAACCCAGGCTGGGATGACAGGTGAGAGCCAGCTGCTGGCAGTGATTTGGGTCTCCTCTCCCACCAAGGTGTGCTGAGGCATCCCCTGCTCTGGGGTGGGGGGCACATAGAATACTCTGGAAGTGGAAGCAAAGCTACTGACCTCAAGAAGAAATGAAATTTAAGCTGTCAGCAGAAGCGCAGGAGACCATAAAAAAACAACTCCCCGGTGAAGCAGGAGTCAGGGAGCAACAACAAAGCCACTGGGATTTGCTGAACCAGAGGCGTGGGGAGGAACCAGCATCTAATGAGGTGTTAATAACCCGAATGCGCAACGCCGGTCATGGGATGGCCAGCACAGCCTGCCCAGCACGGCTGGCTCTGATGGCTTTATTTAAGGAAACAACCCTAATAAAGAGATGTTTCCCTTCCTCCCAGAGCGGCACAGCCAGGCTGGGACAAAGTGATCCGAAAGTGAGAGGGGGAAAAGCACGGTCTGCCGTGAGCAGCGACCTGAATCCATCCATCCATCCATCCCTCCACTTCCAAGCTGAATCCCTCCATCCATCCCTCCACCTCCAGCCGTGCGGGGAAACCGCCAGACAGCAACGGGAAAGGAAAAAGCAGCTCAGGAGGCAAAGTCTGGCTCCAGGACAAGGAGATGCCAGCCCAGACCCGGCTGTCCCGCTCCTGCTCGGTTTCCAGCAAGATCGATGCCACTCAAAGCCCCAGCTGGTCACGGCGATCCCGCGGGAATGTCATGAGGAAACCCAGGCACCTGCTGCCCCAGAAAAGCGCCTGACCTAAGCGTGCCGTGCCAGAGGAGATCCCCGAGTCACGAGCAGGGCGCAGAGCAAGGCGATACCCCCGGCCCCCCCGGGGATGCTGCTGGCAGCGGCTCCGACACACGGGGAGCTCCTGGAGCCTGCCTGCACAAAGCCCAGGCACTGCCTGCCCTGGGCACACGGGACAAAGAGGGTCGTTTCTTGCCCGTTTTCTCTTTTCAAGATGTGTCCTATCAGCATCTCCACCCCAAAACCTTGTCCTGGGGAAGGGGAGAGCAGGGCAGAGCGAGCAGGCTCAGACTGATGGCAGGATATCACACCAAGGGGATACCCTTTTGTCCAAGAGGAGGAAAGGTTCATTTCTTGTCCATTTTCTCTTTTGAAGATGTGTCCCATCAGCATCTCCACCCCAAAACCTCATCCTGGGGAAGGGGACAGTGGGGCAGAATGAGCAGGCTCAGCTTTCACAGTATCACACAGAGCTGTGGGGAAACCCTTATGTGCAAGAAGGGGAAAGGTTCATTTCTTGCCCATTTTCTCTTTTCAAGATGTGTCCCATCAGCACCTGCACCCCAAAACCTTGTCCTGGCCACCCAGCACTACTGAGTGCTTTGGGGCATCCTTTTTGAGAGCTGGGCTGGCCAGTGGGGACCCCTCACTGGGCAGAAAGAAAGGCTCAAGGAGCCTTTTCACTCCAGAAAAATCTTTTTTCTGGGGTGAAGGATGAGGGATGCCAGGAGCTGATCTCCCCCCATTCCACTGCTGAGACCAAGTGACCTCCTCCCTTTGTCACCTCAAGGACCCTCCCCAGCCCTCGAGACCCAGCAGAGCTTTAATGGCATGCAGAGGCTGAGCTGAGGAAGAGAAAACCATAGGGGACAAAAGCAGAAGTCACCTTTTGCTTTCACACCTCTCTGGACCCCTGACCACAGCCCTGGTGTGGGAGAACTGATTTCTCTCCATGCTCCTCAGTACTCCATGCACTATTTATACTATTGTGATCTTAAATCAGACTGCCTGTCTGAACCAAATAGAAATGGAAACATTCCTTGTTCCTCTCATTTACTGGCCATCCCACTAAAATATTAATTGAACAGCATCTTGGCCTTAAATTTTATAGTCAAACCACCTGCCTTGAACCAATCCTTCAGCAGGAGCAGGCTTTAACTCCTGCTCAGATGCACTTCAGGGTCCACCTGTCATCTGCAGCTTAGAAAAGATTTTTCTGGGATGAAAAGGCTCCTTGTGCCTTTTCTGCTGCCCAGCCAGCTCTCAGAAAGGATGCCCCAAAGCACTCAGTAGTGCTGGGTGGCCAGGACAAGGTTTCGGGGTGGAGGTGCTGATGTGACACCTCTTCAAAAGAAAAAATGGGCAAAAAATGAACCTTTCCTCCACACATAAGAGTATCCCCACAGCTCTGTGTGATATCCTGATTCCAGCCCCACAGGAACCAATGCTCCTGGAAATGAGCAGATGGGCCCATGAGAGCCCCCAATAAAACCTGAGATTTTCTCCATCTCCCATTACTCTGACCATACCACAGGGTTGTTCCTCTCCCTCCCCTCCAAAATCCCCCGCAGTGGATGTTGTACTTCCTGTGCTGACAGCTGCTGGAAAATAAAGACAAGTTCATAGATAAGATCCACTGGATCTTAGATAATCTTTTCTCTGAGTAATTCCATCCAGCTTGCATTGAGCCACTCTGCCAGCCCACTCAGGGGCTGGAGCATCACCCAGGCCAACCAATCTGCTGGTGTTGGGGGACCTGGGGGATACCTCAGGGTCCCCAGGGTGCAGAGACAATGATCAGCAAAGCTTTGGTGCATCATGAATGCAGCTTAGTGCTTGGAGGCTGTGTGTGGGAATAAAGCAGAGACACCCCCTCAATGCCCCAAAGGAAAAGCTATTGGAAAAAGGAAATAAATGAAAATCCCAGAGCTTTGGGTGAAGGAGGTCAGAGGCTGTTGTCCATTCCCCCCTCAGTCGGGTGCCACCTCACGTGCCTGTCTCCAGCAAGAGAGCTTCCCACAGAAAACCACCCAGTCCAAAGTCTATTTTTAACCACCACAATAGCAGAGCCTCCCCCGAGGAGCAGCACAAGCCCTGTCCCAACCAAGCAATCTCACATTTCCCTCGCTAAGCCTTGATTTCCTTCCGCCTCTCAGCCCACAACAAAACCCTTCTCCTCCTCCTCCTCCTCCTCTCACCTTCCCATCCTCAGAAAACTATTTGCACATCCCTCCATGCCCCTGCAGGCTGGTGTGCTGTGGGTGCAGAGTGTCCTGCACACCTGTTACACATTAACCACTGACCTGGCACCTGTGGGCAGCCCCTTCCTGCACTCAGAAATGCCAAATTGGAGCGGCAGGTTCACCTGCTCAGCCCCCTCCCCTGGGTGCACCCCAAAACTCTGGGGATTTACAGAAAAAGCCCTGCAACATCAACCCAGCTGCACTTCCCAAAGTGAGTGCAAACTCTTTAAAAGAGATTATTCTTACCCTGGGGATTGCTGTGCCATGGAGGAGCTCTTTGGGGGTTTTTGGGGAGAGAGCTGAGTGGGTGCTCAGCAAAGCAAATCCTGATGGATACAGCACTGTCATCACTGGGGTTCCCCCACCATTAGGTCAGAGAAACCCCTTAGATTGTTTTTCAATTACAGCACATAATAAACATGAGATAAAGTTACACAGTTCTGTAGGAAATTTTCTTATTATGTTTTTTTTTATGTTGCAGATCCAATTCCCCACACGCATCACTGTCTCATACCCGCCTGCAAACAGCCTTAAACTGCTGCCTAATGCTATCTGAGCTGGGGAAATTCAATTCTACCCAGCGCCTCACCCAGGACTGCTACAATCACTGCTAATTGCTTAAGTGGTGTATTAAGCAAAATAAAAATTCCAGTGGGCTTTGAACTCCCCCCCTCCTCAACCAGATGATGCCAAAACACCCTGTTACAGCTGCCAGCCCTGGCTGGAGAGCCAACCTCAAATATCCTTCTTCTCTTCACTGTGCAGGGATGCTCCTGGGCAGGCAGAGCTTCGTACCCAGCACGGCCATGACCACACCAGAGGGATCCACAGGCAGTGTTTGACTTTGCCACCCCTCTTGCCAGAGTTCTGGGGTGCCATTGCAGCCCCAGGGTCCAAATGCTGCCAGGAGCCAGTGAAGCAGGACACAAACATCTGCCCAGTGGGACCCTGGGGTGGATGCACACTGTCCTCTCCTGTCCCCCCACCTGTGGGTGTGGATGGAATATGGGGCTTCTGTCAAGTCTCATCCCAAATTCAAACCCTGCACGAGAGCAAGCAGATTCTCCAAGCCCTTCTGGTTTTCCCTTTAGCAAAAATCAGGTGTGGGATGCAGTTTTAGGCCTGTTCTCTCCTCCTCTCCAGCATGATGGAGCCAGTTGGGACTGAATCTCTCTCTGGGAGCACCCAGGTTCCCTCTGCCTGCACAAGGATGGGGATCACTGAGCCAGGGACAAGTCCCCAACCCTATCCCAGCACCTCACTGGCACCCATGGGCAGGGAAAGCAGCTGAGGTCAAGTGAGGGCAGCCCCAGGCAGCAGGGGAGTGATGCAAGAACCTCAGGGCTGGACGGACTGCCCTGGGGCATCCCAGGCAGCCTGAGTCAGCAGGCCCAGCAGATGGGCAACCATCATCTGGTTCCTCTGCTTCTGCGGGGAAGAAGAGAAGGAGGAAGAGGAAAGGCATCAGCCAGCAACATCCTTATGCTGAAGAGATGGGTGTTCTGCCTCCAAGGAGGAAGAGTAAAAGGAGGCTGGACAGGACCTCGCTGCCATGAGGGTGCTCACAGTCCAGGAGAAGAGGGGACAGACCTCAGATCAGCCAGATGAGGTGGCCCTGCAGTCAAACAGCCACTGCAGCCCTGAACCAACTGAGGAATGAGGGGATTTTAACCCCAAAGCCTTGACCAGGCAGGGCTGACTCACCCTCCTCGATGGTACAGGGTCACTGAGCTGGGTGAGACACCAGGCAGGGCTGGCAAACCTGTGTGCTCCCCAAGCTGCAGCAGAGAGGATTATGCAGCCTTTTAAAGGAAACACTCAGCCCCGAGCTCCTGCGTTGCAGTGATGGTGAGACACTGGGAAATACCACAGAAGAACACAGAGAGAAGGTCCAAGGGCACTTGCCATCCCATCTGAGCAGATCTCCTGGCAGCACACACCCACCTGTCTGTACAAATGTGCCCTCCCCCAGGGAAGGGGGGCTGAGCAGTTCAGAACTGCCTGTGTGCTTTAGGGGGATGATTCCTATTTAGAAAGGCATCCCCAGAAACCCATGGTCCTTCTCCACTCTCCCAACAAACCAAACCAAAAATCCTCATGGAGGGCAGTTCTGAGTAATCATAGAATTGTTTAGTTTGGAAAAGACATGCAAGATCACCCAGTCCAACCATTCCCCCATGTCCCCTAGTGCCACATCCACACCTTGGCTAAATCCTCCAGGGATGGTGACTACACCACTGCCCTGGGCAGCCTGACAACCCTTTCAGCAGAGATTTTTCCTAATATCCAACTAAACCTCCCCTGGCATAACTTAAGGCCATTTCCTCTTGTCTAGTCAGCTGTACCTGGCTACAATTTCCTTCCAGGCAGTTGTAGAAAGAGAGAAGTTCCCTCCTGAGCCTCCTTTCCTCCAGGCTGAGCTCCCCCAGCTGCTCCTCATGCACTCAAAGCCACAGGAGCAGGGTCTGTGGGGGTTTTGGGCAAGGTGCAGGGGGGGACAGGGAGGTTTTACCTCCTTTCCCGTTCCAGTTCACAAGATCCCCGAAGCACTGGCAGCGTGGCTCTTGCAGGTCAAACACATAACTCCAACCGATCAATTTCCACACTGGAAGGAAGTACCAGAGCGACTGGGAGAGAGGGAGGGACCTGGAAGGCAAAGGTTTAGGCTGTCAATGCCTGGAGCCACAGCAATATCCCCAGGCACATCTCACCTCCCCCAGGCCACAGTCTAGCAGGGCTCGGGCCTGACTTCACCAAAAGCAGAAACAAGCAGGAGGGCCGGGCAGAAAGTCCCTGAAGCCTCTCAAGGGCCTTCCCGCGGTGCTGCCCACAGAGCAGGGCTGGCTGGAGGCAGCAGCCGCCCCTCGCTGTGCCCGCGGCGATGCAGGGCTGAGCCCCCCTCCGGAGCCCCCGCACCCCTCACGCAACGCCAGGCACACAATACAGACTGAAAATAAGGGAGCATCCGTGCGGGGGGCTGCGTGTTGTGTGTGCCCCCCTTCGGGTCTGCCATCCCCAAACCCCGGGGGAAAACAACCCATGGCTGCAGCCCCAGGGAAAACCCCATCCCCAGAGCAGCCCCCAGGGCCGGGGGAGCCCAAACCAAGGCAGCAGCCCCATCCCTGGAGCAGCCCTCAAAGCTGGGTGAACCCAAGCCAAGGCTGCAGCCCCTTTCCCACGGGGCAGCCCCCATCCCCGGAGAAGCCCCCAGGGCCGGGGGCAGCCCCCAC